GGTATGTTTCGGGTATGTTTCAGAGTATATAATAGCAAATATATATAATATGCGGAGTATGTTTTGGGTATGTCTCAGGTATGTCTCGGGTATATAATAAAATAATCAACCATTGTTTCCTTGATAAGTTCCAAACACATCAATGTTTTTAGAACACGATCTTAAAACAATAAGGATTATATGCAATATATAATTAGAATTCTTAAAAATATTATATATTTATCAAGGGGTTCTTATCTAGAGATTCTTAATTGTTCATATAACGATTGTTATACGTATCTTTTAATTTGCAATTAATTGCATATTGATCTTAAATTGATGCATAACAATTGATTAAATTGATCAATCATTTTTGCATACAAAAACAGTTCGCTATAGTTTTTTATCATATTGGTATCTATATTATAGAACAATAATATCACTTTTTTTTTTTAATTATAAAAGAACCTTTTTATTGCTTTTGAACAGGTTTTTTATTTTTTTTTAATTTTTATATATAATGTGGACGATAAATCAACTTCAGATGCTTATTGAGTAACGTAAAGAAAATAACAGCCTGTATCACGATCTTATAGGAAATGAGAAAATCATGTTTTGGCAAGGCATTGCAAGCAAAATCAATCTTGATTTCGGAACTAATTACACAGGACCCCAGTGTAACGAGAAATTTAAAAGCCTAGTTCGAGACTATAAAGTAATATTAGTATTCTGATCTAATAAATAAAGTTTTTCAGTTGATTTATTATTATAATTTTATAGAATATAGATTTATATATAAAGGGTGATCTCTGTGGAAAACAAACCTGCAATAGTTCTAGATTTTATGAAGAATTTAAAAGCTGTTTTTGGGAAAAACTAGGTAGATACGTATCATTTTTACGTACGTATAAGTATGTATATGTAAAATATAATTTTATACTTTTTTAGCAACCGAATATGATCGGTTACGTGAACAAAATATGCAAGCAGATGCCCAAGCAATAGGAGTACAAGTATGTTATAAAGATTCTTTGGAACTTCTTATTCGAAGTTTTCAAAATATACAAAACATACAAGCAGAAGTAGACAATCGAGACCCACCCCCACCTTATAGTGAATAAATATATATATATATAGGATAATAATGATATTAGTAACAAAATTAATACGTACGTATAGGTAATTTTTTTTATATAATTTTTTTTGTAGTTTTTAAAATTTATATAGAATGTACTATTAAATTTAAATTTAAATATAAAATTTCAACTATATATTAATATTCGAAGTAAACATTTTAATAAATGTACATATTAAATAAATTAAATAAAAATCAACAATACATATATATATACTGTATAAGAAACTGATTTTTACAGATTCACTTGATTACTTCATATATGCATAATTGTATTTGCACGTGTAAATGATATAAATATTTTTTAGAGAAATGCGACACCTGTAGTTAGTAAAATTTTATAGTAATACAAGTTTTTGACATATATACAAATTTCAAATACAGATACT